AGAAAGGAATGGAAAGCCTTGTACGCTACAACTAGCGAACCTTTGACCACGAAAACGCAACATTTCGTTTCCTTGGGCCCCTGACTACTGCTTCCAATGGTGCATGTACTTCCACGCTGCATACGCACTTTATCGTAATCTCTCGCTTTAAGCTTCCTATTACACCATTGGGGCATCTTCACCCCGAATCGGCTTCGATGGTAAATTTACGTATTTTGTAAACCTTCAAACGCATAATGTGATGAACCAGTTAATCGGCTGATCTGAGTTTGGGTGAACATATGCCCCGATGGTGTAATTGGTAGCACAATTGCCCGGGAAAGCAAGAGATCCGGGTACGAATCCCGCCTGGGGCGAAAGTTTTGTTCACAACCCAGCATTCTTGTGAAACATTCGCAACGCGAACTGCGGCGTTAAAACAGCAGTTAGTTAACAAAAACAAGTCAAAAGTGATATATAATGAAGCTTTCAGCCTTGCACTTCGCTGCTGATAACAAGCTACGCGGTTCATCACTTATATTAGGTTGTCTCAAAAGTTCGTGCGTATTTTCAGCTTCTTTTTGAGCCTACTTTAGTTCAAGCACAAGCACTATTCATTATGACTATACATCCTTTTGGGTGACATGAATGCCAAAGCTGGACTCCAATTAGGAAACGAGAACATGATCGGCAAGTATACTTTCGACACACCAAATAATCGCGGACGTTTACTGACAAATGCTTATCAGACTAGGATTACGAGCATGGAAACGTTCTTTCAAAAAAGAAGAGGTCGACTGTAGACTTGGGGAGGACCAAGTGGAATGGTGTATAATCACATTAACATCATATGCTCTCCTTCATCTACAACCGTTCTCGACTGTGGAATCGTAAACAGTTTCCAGTTCAATTCTGATTATCGACTAGGCTCGTATGCAAATGGTCATACGCAAACAAGTTAGCCATAATTCACCTAATCCGCGTTGCTCTCCCTCATCAGGCCTCCGCCTCGACCGCGAGTAGTACAAGATCCAATCCTCCCACATTCTCTCGGTTAATCTCTTTGAAAAGTAGTACCTGATAGGCCTGAGGCTTCCTTGTGTGCAATTTATATACGATAAATCGTCCATCTTCGGAGCCAGTGAGAACGTACGCGCTTTCCGGTGCCACAGAAATACACGTAATGGACCGGGCATGTGCAAGAATCTGAAGCCGATCACTGAGAATGATCAATTTTTCACAAAATAAGCCGTACACACTTCAGCCATAAGCTCGCCACCAGAGATGGAGTAGAATAGCACACGTCCACGAAGAGTGCCAACAATCACTTGTTTGCGTAACACACTCATGGCGGTTATTGGGTGCCTGAAATAGGTGAGAGAACATTTCATAATAACGAAGGCTCGAATTTTTTTGCTTCTTCGAGGGGACGCTTGTATGTTGAAGGCAAGGGCCAGGATTAACACGTTGACGACAGGCTGACGCGCAAGCGCGTCAGACATTTGCACCGCATTGGACATTCTGACGCGCATGCGCGTCAGCATCTTGGTACCATTTTTTCCGCACATGTCCGACTTCTTCCGAAATTTTTTATACTATTATATAGACAATACATCATCATGCCTGTAAACGGTGTGGTCCATGAAGCGGTTGAATATGCTTTAGTTAAGCGAAGGTTTTCTGAACCTCACTAAATTTCCCGTTTAGTTCAATCTTCGACTACTATTTTGGGGTAAACAAGCATAAAAACAAAATATAAATGCAAACAACAATGTGATACATAATGTCAAGGAATTACGGTTCTATGGATGAGATGATTGTGTTTTCATTGAAGCAGTTTCTATAAAAGAATTTTCTACATCGTGTTAACCCTTTCTGTTTTTATAGGCGGCAAATAAATCCTTGCTCTTTAGACATAGTTACATAACGTTCTAAACACTTTGTGCGGTAAATTCTTTCGAACCTTCACTTACGTATACTGACATCTGTTGCGCGAAGCTATGGGCTGGCTATATCCCCCAGACTGATGGATTCCTTATTCTGCATTTAGTCATCATTAGTATTTCGCTGAGAGGACAGAGACAAGCAGCGCGTCCGCGCCGGAAGCCCCCTCCCCTCAATAGCGTTTTACCCTTGCTTTGCTCGCGCTTGCGCGTCAGGCAAATACCGCCCGCCAAACTGTCCATGTCCCATGCGGCGGAAAAAGCCAAAACCTGCGCTGTCGTCAACGTGTTAAATTGATGTGTTATTATGAATGTGGAAATCTGAATATGAAAATGGGGTGCGTTGTGGAGCGTGAGGGAAAAGGAAAAGGAATGATCAACTTATGGAAAAAATACAAGCCTCTTTGCTTTATGCTGCGAAGAACTCTAACCAGGAAAGGTCACTAGGTCAACCCGGCCAGCGGAATGACGTGCATGGCTGTGCACGCACCATGAGACGCTGAGCTCAAATCTGCTTTTACTATCTGCTAAACTCGGTTTTGAAAGGAGTCACGAAGGGTTTTCTTTGATACCCTTCAGTGTTTTGCCTGCAATCGTATGTAGACCGCATTATAAACATGACAAAGAATTAACGATGTGGGCTTCAGTGGCGCACCTGGTAGCGGTCTTGCTTCTCAACCAAGGGGATTCGCATTCGGTTGTTGTTGAGGTTGGTGTATATTTTTTTTTCACCATGGCTAAAATGCCTTTTTGGATCCGTTATTTTATGAACGTGGCCTGAAGCTACATCTACCTAGAGTTTCTAAGCAGATCCTCTTAACACATTGACGACATTGAGACGCGGTTACGCGTCTCACCCTTGTCATCCCTTTTTCTAGCGTATGCGGGGATTCTTCCCAATTTGCTTGCTCTATTCTATGGATTACAACATAACATAACTGTAAACGACATGGGTCACGGTATGATCAAATATGCTCCAGTTTAGCAGAAGTTTTTTAAGCACAGCGGAAATTGGCAGCTCGGTTCATCCCTCGTTTTCTTCCTATTCTGATGAACATGTCAGTGAGAAAAGGTAGTGAAAGTAAATACAAACTAAAGGGATAGAAAGATATATGTTTCACTTGACACATCCACATCGAAAATAGTTTTGGCATCCACTACAGAGAAAAGGACTTGAATTCCAATTTTCTTTACCATTTCACGTTTTTTGATCGGAATTTCGCTACTATATCTTCGATTACTTTCTACGCATTGAATATTGCTGAAATGGTTTCGTACCTTTGAAGCTTCCCAAGGTTATCGTTCGAAATTTACGGGTGTGAGGTGTGACGGCCGCGCTCGCAAAAGCGCCTTGTCCCACACGGTGCAAAAACCCAACCCAGCTCACGCTAGAATTTGTCGGGGTGGCTTCATAACGAACAAATTTCTCAAGGATGCTACAGGATATGATTCTGGGAAGAACCCTGATTACTATCCGACCGAGATAAGCGCCGTATCGTGAGAAAATAATACGACTTTATCCAGACGGGTACGGAAATCAAAACTTCTTCAAAAGTTAGTGTCTCAATGGAAGCAGTTTCACGTGTTTTACAACACGCTCGTGACAGTCCATGTCTGGAAGGATAAGAAATACGCTTTCAGTGAGAAGAAATCAGAGAGAAAAACGAGCCATTTTTCTTTGAAAGCTCAGCCAGTTCGAGTGAAGCGGTGGCATTCTTTCATTTGCGACTTTTGATTTGCGTCTTTCTTTCTCTTAACGTTTTTCTTTCTCAGATCGGTTTTCTACTTCGTAGCACACATGTATGGAGAAGAAAATGATCAGGAGGATGGTCAGAGGTTCCAAAATATCACAGATAAAAAAGTGTCCTCACTTCGCTCTACTTAGCAAAACTTTTTGAGAAAAATGGCTCGTTTTCTTCTCTGATTTCTTTTCACTAAAAGCGTATTTCTTATCCTTCCAGACATGGACTGTCACGAGCGTGTTGTAAAACACGTGAAACTGCTTCCATTGAGACACTAACTTTTGAAGAAGTTTTGATTTCCGTACCCGTCTGGATAAAGTCGTATTATTTTCTCACGATACGGCGCTTATCTCGGTCGGATAGTAATCAGGGTTCTTCCCAGAATCATATCCTGTAGCATCCTTGAGAAATTTGTTCGTTATGAAGTCACCCCGACAAATTCCAGCGTGAGCTGACACTCCTGCGTCTCTTTTGCTAGGATTTTCCTTTTACGGAAGTTCGACAGCGGTTTTGCCTTTGCTATAAGCTAAGGAACTTGAGTGGGTAATAATTTCAAAATTTGATTGGGTAAAAGCAAAATGCAGCGGAGAAACATGTGGTGGAACTATGATTTTGCGTCATAGGCAAGTCGGGTATTTTCGAAAAAATGAGGATAAAAAATTTTTGCTTTCTCAAACTGGATTTCCGTGATAATATTCAGATTCGCATTTGCATGTGTCACAATTTGTCTGTAGAGCCCTTTTCAAAAACATCTCCAAATTCTAGTTTTTGGGAAATTTGTAGGTGGAACTAAGATTATGCGTCGCAGTGTATATGTATGGTATCCGAAGTATTACCATCCATGCAGGACAGTCATCTGCTACTATTTAGGAGGCTGAGAGGTAACTTATCATTTCCACTCCAACGGCGCAGCTCTCGTAAGGGCGGCTTTATGCGCGTGTTAGGGGCATACACATGTGGGTACCTATTCGGGTTTGGGAAACCACCAAATCAATTGTACCGGCTATAAATAATGGTTTTCGAGGCCCTGAAAGTATAACGATAAAATACGCGAGTTTTCAAAGTCATTCTTTACGAATTGTTTTTGGGTCTTTTGGAATCTTATAATTTTTGGAATACTTGGAATTTTGTGAACGTTTGGAATTATTCTGGATTGAAAGCTTAATTTTCATGTGTTATACAACATTTATCTCCATATAACTATCATTTGTCAACTATCGACGATCACTATGAATCACTAATCATCGGTTTTACTTGGAGGCCGATGTGTTGAATAGTCTGTACTGCAAAATTCACTGGCCTGATGCAAAGGGTGTTCAATTTCATCGGGAAACTTCGCTCAGTAGCGTCATAACCTCGTTGTCGTGATATTTACAAAATAACTTACTGTGTAGCAATTTTCAGTTGCACTCCCTTGATGTTCTTGTTCCACACATTAATTGTTCCAGAGCAATCTCCAGAGCAAGTTATGTCGTCGTAGCGGCAGGTAGCTAAATCGCTTATGCTGGCACTGTGCTCCTAAAAAATGCCGTGCGTCATTTTCTGCTTCACTTAATAAAGAACTACCCTTTTCATTTCATTCACATGTATGGTCGTATCAGCGATCCCACTTCCTGCGTAGTTGTGATTTCTGTGATTCCCGCGACTCGCGCTACGCATCGAGGACTCAGACTCCAGCCTTAGCGGCTGCCCTTTTGTGAGCGCCAATCAACGGCCAAACAAGGGTTCCCCATTAAGCGTTTTTTCTACGGAGCACAGTTTTTTCAGCTTTCGCCATTGGCGTAGTATTGAGCACCTCGATGTCACCTAAAAACCCCTCGAGAACTTATCGTAATCGCTGCCTTTACCAACAACAAAACAGATTAATACTGTCGAAATGATAATCTTTTCATAGGTGAATCACTTCTAAGCGCTTTCCATTTTGCGGTCTCTGCGGTATTTTTGAAATGCCATGAAACTGAATCAATGGAATAATAATGAAGAATAAGAATTTCTGAGCTTGCAAGTTGATAAGTGATCAGAAAAAATAACAACCCACACATCCAAAAAATTTCGGGATGCCGCCTATCAGGGTGATATGGCCCCATCCAGCAGAAAAAGCGTCGCCAGACATTACCGCTGATGTATTGAGAAGCAGTGGTTACGCAGGGCCAAGATGGTGATCGTCGTCAGGTGTTCATTGGTAGATAGCGTTCGGCCACACACACATCAGCACTTCAAGAGTTGAGGTCCACTGCCCTTCTACCAGTCGAGGGCCAACAACGGCTCGCCGTTTAGCTGAGCGTGTCGACCGTCTTCATTAGAAGAACACTCTTAGAAATTAACGTGTTATCTCACCTTCAACAATTTCTTTGTAGTTATGGATGTCTCGCCACTGCAATGGAATTGCATAATGTGCCCAATCGAAGTTCCTGAAAATGTGGGCTCTTTGCACATCTCTCAGGGCCTTGTGAGATATGTACAGTGGGGGAGGGCAATAAAAAAAGACATTTTGTCTCCACATTCAAACCGATTTAATCACTGCTAAATTCGAACCGAATGGTCTCAAGTTAAAATGAAAGAGCACATTCCATTTATAAAATAAACTTCATATTGCCCTTCAAGGTGGACGAAATCGGAAAAATTAGCACTGAAAACATGGTGTACTGGTCGTGCTCAATGGGGTCGTGGACGGACCCATACCATTACGACGTTTTCTGAAAAGCGGGTTCCGAGGGGGTTTGCATATTCAGAGCTAATGTTTCTAGGAAACTATCCAACGATGAATCGATTCAAGAAATTATGTAAGAGCTTCAGGCTGAAGCAGTTACTGTAGGCCCCCTGAGCTCGACGACGGTGACAGATGACGTCATATTCTGAAGACGGTGAGGGCAGTGAAGGAGGGCCTGCGTCTACTTATAGAGGGACATTTGAGGAATTTGCTGAAGAAATCGACGACAATTTCTGCGACGAAAAAACGCGAGGTGCGACATAGGCAAAATGTCTTTTTCATTGGCCCCCTTACATTTACGTAACTGGTGGCGCGTAGCTAAATCACGCAGCCAATGTTGTTTTTCTATATTGCAATATGCTCCCATAGTGATTGTTAAAAATTGTCTTTGTTGAAACGCGCCTAAATATGTAATGTTATGCCTACACATGCGTCTACTTGCCTACTAGAATTGTATTGTCGTTGCAAGTAATCCCGCGGCAGAAGCTGCTCCAGAACGATGAATCCTCAGGCTCCTGAAAACAATCTACATAACCGGATACTGTGAAATATATCATAGATTACACACCTGCATAAAACAGAAAGAGAACGAATTGTTATCCGAATTGCTGAAGTCGAAGTAAACCTACATTAATTCCTGTTTCGATGAGTTGTTGCTCGAGAAGTTTTTGAGTACGCATGTCGAATATCTGAGCTCCATTTGTGGTTCCTACTACCAAAAGTGGTAATGTTCGAGCATTCGGAAGCACTAAACAAGCCTGAAATTGTATACGAATATTTCAAATTGTCCATTTTCAAACATACTCAATACCTGGAGAACATTTACAGGCTTGTCCGTGCTGGTGTCCGAAATATTGATACTATCCCAACTCACGCTCTCGTTCTTGCTATCCCAATTAACCGTGTGTACCTGCAATGATGACAACAATAGATATCGGATATTTAACGAAGCCGTGGGGTGTTGATTCGAAGGCTCTTGTCGCAGTGGCGCCATAAAACGGGCTAAACACGTCGCGTGCAGTCGACATCCCCGTTCATAGAGGACGAAGATTATGCCAGGTATAGGCTGTCTAATGGGTTTGACATGGTTTTTTAGGCATCTTTTTGGAAAAGGCGAGAGGCGTATGGCAGCCTGTTAAAGCGCGACCACACTGGGTTTTGCATACCTGAAAAGTTGTATACCAGAGCGCTTGGCGATCAGCTTTTCTATTAGGATCAAACCTAAGAGATGGTTCGTTAGCCAAATAACATTCTTCACACTGCAGTTCGGCAGTGGGCACGTGCTTTCAGAGCAACAGCCTCAAGAAAGCTGAGTACGAGCAGGGTCAACCAATTTTTCCGTCGATTTCCAACTCTTTAAGACTCTACTTCGCTCAGGGATCTCGATACGACCCCTTAGATATGTATTAGCTATGCATATATTGTATGTGATGTGTCCAGTAAAAAAGATCCACTTGAGTCCACTTGTGATATGCTCGCAGCTATTGTGCGATGTTGTGACCTTCCACAGTGTCAGCCTTCACCACTAGTGCAAGTAATTTCGGAAGAGCTTCCTGCTTTTAGAAGCTTTCCAAGTGCTTCTTGAGCTCAGCTTTCAAATTGAAATTTATCTGAAGTCTATGTAAAGGCGCATTCGTTCGAAAGGTCATAACTTTTTCTGAATACGATTTTGTGCGAAGCAGTGAGGATGTTTCGAGAACTCATGTCATTTCAATGTGTTGAAATTAGGGTGAGCGCCTACTTCTCCAAAAAATTGTAGCGTTATATTTTTCTCTTGAGTACATCAGATTTTTTGGGTTGCCAATGCTGCTAAATTCCAAAAGAGTCAACCACTTACAGTACCTAAGTCTTAGAAGAAACTACGTGATTAATGCTTTCAGATGAGTAGTGAACGAGGTTTGAAAACGTTTTCGTTCAGAAAATAAATCCTTTTGTTTTTTTTTGAGGGGGGCAGAAGCAGAGCTCATGGTCAGTGATTATTTTTTGGACACGCTATTTTTAGAGCTATCACTATTATTAGGTTGTCCCATAATTAGTGAATCACTTTGGGTATTTTTGAATTCAAATTTTTTTCTTTTTATCGAGTCCTTGCTCATCCAAACATACACCTCTGTCATCTACAATGTATTGCCTATTCATGGGAATTTAGTCGCTGTCTTTCCTCTGAAACTGCGGGAGGTCTTGAAGAAGGACTGGAAGTCGGGTTTGAGGTCGTATCACTTAGCGTAAAATTTCTTTTTGAAGAAGAGTGCTAGAGCTCAGACAAGGTTGTCCTTAGCTGGTACGAGGATAGTGCTACACAACGAAGCTGAAAGAACTGTTAGCCTGAGAGTCGCCAACTTTTTATGAAATCTACCCAAGGTGGGTCGAACGACCTCAGAAAAAAGCCGACTTTGTCTTGCTTTGCTTTCAAATTGAACACGTTGCCACTGTGCTGTCCACGTTTGCCTTCTTCACTGACCCTAGTATTACTGGGCGGCGGTTCCCAGCGCAAGGTTCCTTTCGTGTTTCACCAACATTTCAGAAGTCGAACTTAGAGGAGTTGGGCTTTTGCTGTCAGAACTCCCGAATCGCTTGAGCTAGGCTACTGCTCCTTGTGGATTTGCTAGCACACTCCACCCAGTCTACAACACTGGTGAATATGCAGGACTCACTGAAAGGAACTCTAGGAAATCAAAGGAACATGATGATGTCAGATCGTGTTCGAGGGTGATTCGGGCACAGAGCATGTGAGATACAAATTCCATATTTTAAAATCTTTACGACTCTACGGAAATGTCTACATTCCATCATCTAACAAGTCGGATATGCTCTGACAAATAGCGACTACTTTGTCCAGATCCAATCTCAGTGGCGCTGGGTAGAGCAGCAAGATTGCCAGTAGAGGGGTAGTTGAGTCGGTCATCTTCAAATGGAAAAGCCAAATCCGGAATAGAGTGAACCGTGGATTGGAGGAGTGTTATCCTATCTGCTGGTTGATCCATGTTGTTCGGCGTTTGAAAATTCCTAATCGAATTATGAGGAAGGAAACTCAAAAAAGGATAAAAGGATAAAAGCATTTGCCGTTGATCAATCCCTTTTTGGGATGCGGCACGCATTCTACTTCCATTTGTACATTCGTAGTGGCGTTTGAATGCGATGTGGCCTATACAATGACTTGCGGGGCCAGCCGATGTACAAGTCAGTGTTTTTATCCTCCCAGACAAGTCTGGTACCAATTAACCGACCCCGGAGGGATGGAAGGCCCGGGCGACTCACGACCCAGGATTTGATCCCCGGACCGCTCGCGTGGTAAGCGTGCCACTTGCCACTACACCACTTCCGCCCTTAACAAAGGGCACGAGTCGGGATTGAATTGATGCGTTATTTTGTTCAAACATTAGGCAAGGGGTGCAATGAGGAACATTAGTGAGGAGAAAAAGCAAAAAGCACCATAGAAAACACTAAATTTCCCTTAGGAGGCCGGCCGTAGTACGACGGAGAGACACAGCGCTGCGAGGAGAGGAGAGAACGCGAGATAGTACGTCATACGTGAGAGACGCAGAGACCACGTATGCCGTGGTGGATTATGCTGGCAGCGCGGGCAGCGCGGTGAGCAAGGCCTTAGCGCCATTGCCGCGCACTTTTGGGTCGCGATAGTGTCGCGTCGCTAGTGCTCCGTCCTTAGTGTGGTAGCTCATTATCGCACCCTGGGAAGAACTTCTGCTGGTTGCCTGATCCTGACTCGTGGCCTGCGCGGAAAATTCTTGCATTCTTTCTTGACATGAATGTGTCAGTTGTGATCACTGGAAACAGCACACAAAGTTTCACGCATGAAGATTCGGTTTCCGAAGAGAAACAAACGTCCAAAAAACTACACGTTATGGACATCGAAGGTAATTCGGGCGGAGCCAAACGAGACATGGGGCCGTATGCAACAAGCCCCGAAGGTCTTCGGGGATATATCCCCGAAGTCGTATGCAACAAGCCCCGACGATCGTCGGGGACATATCCCCGAAGTCGTATGCAACAAGCCCCGACGATCGTCGGGGACATATCCCCGAAGTCGTATGCAACAAGCCCCGACGATCGTCGGGGACATATCCCCGAAGTCGTATGCAACAAGCCCCGACGATCGTCGCGATATTGATGAGAAATCACTCAGTTCCCTTACCCTGCTTTCATAGTTCGCATCGGTGCGGTCGGTGCCGACGGCGCCGACGGCGCCGACTGCACCGACAGTGTTAAGAGCGTCAACACGCGCTCTGGCGCATGACGCGTGCGCTGGGCGCAGATGGGGCGCTCCGGTCGATAATCTTGGTTTTGGTGTATTTCTTGTATTTTTTCGATGTTTTTTGCACTCACTTCATATGAATAAACAAAATTGCTTACGACCAACACACCCGGTATGGCCACATCCACCCGGAGTTGTGCGACGGGTTCACGACGTCGCTCGCCCGCGGAACAACTGGAAAGTATTAATAAAGTCATAAAAGGGCGCAATGTGGCTCGGAGGGGGACAGCCGTCGCGCGGGGCGTTGTGGCAACAGGAAACTCGCAAGCCAGGGGGTGTGGCCAATTCAGGGGGGGGGGTGAGGGCAGTCACTTAGCATGCGTGAGAAGCTGAAATGTCCCGTGAAAAGCTGGAATGTTCGAGTTACACTACATCGCTGAGCCGCGCACCGACTTCCTCCCCCCCCCCCGAGCCACATTGCGCCCATAAAAGAATAAGTATGAACAGGAAACACACGAATTAAAAAAAAACAAAAACGCGCGAAAAAAACATCGAAAAGCACAAGAAATACACCAAAACCAGGATTATCGATCGGAGCGCGCGATCTGCGCCCAACGTTCGCGTCATGCGCCAGAGTGCGTATTGACGCTCTTCACACTGTCGGTGCGGTCGGCGCCGTCGGCGCCGTCGGCACCGACCGCACCGATGCGAACTATGAAAGCAGCCTTACCTGCGGCACCCGCAGACGTTATCAGCGAAAAAGCGAGCTCTAGAAAGATAGTTCATTTGAACAATCAGCAAAGCGCACTGATTAACTTACCGACTTACCGAAACATATCGACTAAGGCAAGAATGAAGAAGTCTCAACTAAAAAACATGAATGAACGCACCACATATTCACAAACATTGAAAAATGCACGAAATGCACCGAAATCGAGGTATCGATCGAGGGAGGCGCCGACTGCGTGCTAACACGACGACCCTATGCAACAAGCCCCGAAGGTCGTCGGGGATATGTCCCCGACGATCGTCGGGGCTTCGGGGTTGTTGCATACGACTTCGGGGATATGTCCCCGACGATCGTCGGGGCTTGTTGCATACGACTTCGGGGATATGTCCCCGACGATCGTCGGGGCTTGTTGCATACGACTTCGGGGATATGTCCCCGACGATCGTCGGGGCTTGTTGCATACGACTTCGGGGATATATCCCCGAACGACCTTCGGGGCTTGTTGCATACGGCCCATGGAAGAAGTTGGCCTTTAGCCGGCTACGTATCAGGCGACGCAATGAAAGAATCGGGTTAAAGCGCGCGATTTCGGAGAGTAGAGACAAATCGATCGATAGAATAGGATGGAGTAGAAGTGTAAGATGTGAATGCAATAAAGCAGAAGGCCAGAAAGAGTTTCTAGTGAAGGCACTCCAAGAACCAAGTGGAAGCATCCCCGTCGCCAGCATTTGTGAAAGACGTCCGTGGGCACTTGAAGCAGCCCTTTCGATTTTTCGAATTTTTTACCAAAACGAAAGCAATATTTCTGTTCTTTTCATTCTTATCGTGGATAATGAGTCTCAAGCCAGTGATTTATGGCCCAAATAAAAGCATGATTTTTCCGCGAAGGATTCCTTAACCCTTTACGAAACGTGTCTAGCGTGTGGAACCGCACGCCAGACACGCACGTGGCCCGCCGGCGGGCCAT